CGTCACTACACTGAAATAAAGTCGGCAGCAACTTCCGGTTCACGCAGACTTTAAATGGTTACTAATGGGTTTTGATGGTCATCTAGTTGAAAAGCTTGGTACTACACCCAAACAAAATCTCACTGAAAGCTAATTTTTTGAGATATCAACCTCAAATTTGGAACATAACTTGTTCAGAATTTTGGTTTTGATTTTCTAGCAGTTTTAGAGTAAAACATGTTTTGTAAAATATATATTTGATATAAAATTGAAATATTTTAAAATTTTCATAAACTTAAACTTCCATAACTTTTTTGTTATATAATCTTTATAACTTTTTTATTAGTTAAGTAAAGTAACTTTATTACTTCTACAATAATCTGCCAAGTGTCTTCTTTAAAAAGAGACCTTTAGAGCCTTTAGCTCGCAGGGCGTATATCCAATTTCCATGTTGGGGTTAGATCCAATAGTGACCAAAAAATAAATAAAAATAATAATGAATGTACATAATTTTGCAGAAGGGGTTTTAAGATACTATGAGTCACTAGACTCGTTGAAAAAATTAGCTAATGTAATAGCCTTATTATGTTTACTAGTTTCTTGTAAGTTCATTTATGAAGTGAGTAAAAGAAAATCTACACTTATGAATAAAAAATGTATCACAACAAAGAAAGCAAGTAGTGTTGCATACAATCTTTTTTTTAAGTACTCCAAACTTAAAGGCACAATATGTAATTTTCGCCGCTAGAGGGCGAGTATTCAAAATAAACAGAGAGTCGAAACATTTGGGATAATGTAAGTACACAAGTCAGCAAAATATATAACACTGTTTTAGTGGTTTTTGGAAATTTAAATAAAAAAATCTTACATATTGTGCCTTTAACTGGTTAAAGACGATTAACATGAATATAAACAGGACATTCTGCTATTCAAGTGAGACCAAAACAGCTTTGAATGGATACAGTTGAAGAAAATGTGCTTTGTGGTTTCAATCTCACTTTCGCAAAACTGACAAAGAGTTTTCCTCAATATCAAATTTTGATCTAAGGAATTCTTTCGATGGATATATATCATTCATAATTTTAAATTGAAGCTCTTTTAAGGGAAGTTCAAAGGAAGTCGTGGCCTAATGGTTGGTTAAATGCAGAGCACTAATTCCGAGTATGGGTCACCATACTTGGCCACATGTCACTTCACTTTTGCTTTTGGGAAAATTGGAAAAGAGAGGTAGCTCATTCTTATGTCTTTTAATTCCTTTGAATCAAAACTCTTTGAAAATATGGAGACGTCTGAGTCGATTTGGGTAAAGTCTATTAATGAAAATGCTGATTATAAACAAGTTGGTACATTTTTTATCTCTAATAGAATAAGTACCCTAAACACAGAGATGGATCTGGCCCCTTGTCCAAATACCCACACTTGCGGTCTTGGCCACTTGAAGAAAAACTGTGTTTTTACTTTTATTGGTGCAAAGATGAGTAGTGGTGATATTTATTTTGTACAACATTTGCAACTGCTTTTTATCATTTAATTAGAAGCACCACAAATTAAAATTATGTCATGTTATAGGGACTACTGAACAGACATTTAGAAGTTGATTTTAAAATGCAAAGTATGTCAAATTAAAATTAAAATAAAGCTGTGTAAACAGTTGCATTTTTACAACACTATAAGTGTGTTCCATAAGGTAATGAAAAGTTCGACACACACTTGTGGTCTTCACATCCACTTGAAGACTTCGGCCAAATACAGGAAATACGTCATTTAAGTAATCAAGTGGTCAAGTGCAAAGACTGCAAGTGGGGTATTTGGACAAAGCCTGGGAATCTCACCTATATGGCAGCTCACTTCTGACTGCTACGTCAAAAATGTGTGCGCGTCACGTCACCAAGCGTCTCTTTGACCCAAAGAGAGGAACAGCGCGCCCCCGAGCGTACACAAACTCCGTGTGCTTGCCACACAGTTGTCATCTTGAACATGTCACGGAAATTATAGACGCTATGCGATGCATTGTTTCTCACCGACGACGATGAAAAAATCCTGAGCGCGATTTCATCCGTGCAGGGGCATTAACATGCCGAACTTTGGGCTGGTTTTGAAGGAAGCGAGCTTTTGGGTTCCGGTGACGAACTGCTTTTTGGCTGTCAGGAAACTCGCTGCGCTAAAGGTTCATTCTAGCATCTGCTGCTTATCATCAACAACATTACGAGAACGCCTGGACTAATGTCGCCTCAAGAGCTCCTCTCCTGCCTAACATCACTACATCCGCTCGTGCGTCCGTCTGGGAGCGCATTTCTCGCACTTTTTACGCGTTTTAACTTTCGCTGAGTTTAGCCGTCATCAACGGAAAGAGGAATTTGTTCAAGCAAGGCGCACGCTCTTTTGGGCAGATCCTCGACAGTGCGACTCCTGTGCAGTTTTCCTCGTACGTTTTTCGCTTTTACTTCGGTAAAGTGGATACATGAAGGCTGCTTTCACAGTCACATGCCTTCATTCATAATCATTTGCCGCACAATAATGCGGAGACTGTCCATGCATCGAGCTGAGGGCTCGTTTTCTTGTTTATTTGGCTTTACAGAGTTGTTACGCACGGGATTCATTGACACAAACGGACTGTTACCGATTCGCCTTTCAATAGAAAAGTGAAAACTGTAGGTTTGTGCAGTGAGCTGGCCAGACATCGACGGAGAGGGATAATATGCAAACCTGGCAGGAAAAGAAGCCATCAAAATTACGGAAATCCCTTCTTTTCCTCCGGTCTGCTATTACGAATGCAGTCTGTGTAAGCAGCTCGCTTATATCTGCACCATTTGTGTGATTTTTATACATTCTAAACCTTTTGGACGTGAAGTTTATTATTCAGATTTACTTTGAACTCTCCATGCAATAGTCATTATGCTGTCTACACAAAGCTATAACTATATTGACGAAACGTCAATATCTTCGTAGTCACTAGATTGCTACTTTCTGTCAGCATAAACTGGAAATTATACATGTGTGTGTGTGTGTGTGTGTGTGTGTGTGTGTGTGTGTGTGTGTGTGTGTGTGTTAAGAGGTCTCTTCTCTTGAATGGTCTGAGGAATACGTTTGATGGGTGATATGGGAGACCCTCATGGGTCCGCTCACCTGGAAGCTCTTTAGCAATGGCAGCAGCCTGGATATCTGTGGACAGTCACATTACATTAACTGTTACGTTTGTCTTCACGATATACATCGAGCTCCTGAAGACAGGACAGAAAGTGATTCTGTGAAGAGCCCTCTTTCACCTGCGTTAAGTTCAGGTGAGTATTTAAACTTAGGGTTCAGTTTGTAAATACATAAACATGCTTGAATGTGTGCAAAGTTTCAAGGTGTGTTAAGCATACAGGTTTTGATATTGTGTTTTGGGTGTATGACTGACTTGACTGATGAAACTGACATGCCCATGGTATCCCGTCGCCTCTTGTCATTCATAAAATGTGCACTAAATATGTAAATCGCATAGCAGTTAAATTATTCACTAGTACTGGAAATCATGTAAACAACAACCATTATTTGCCATGGACCTAAATGGAGGTCTTCATGCTCATATATCAAGTCAAGATAAGTCACCTTTTTTTTCTATAGCACTTTATACAGTGCAGATTGTTTCAAAGGAGCTTCACAGTAATAAACAGGAAGATAGAATCAATTATGGAAAGTCTGCTATGGAGACAATTCAGATTTTGCTGTAAAGCAGCTCTAAAAGACAATAGTGTTATTATTTAGCTTATGTTAGGTCAGTGTTGGTTCAGTTAGATAACAATGTAAAGTTCATCTATTTTGACACAAGTAATTAATCTAAAAACAGTCTCTACAGAAGCCAGCAATGTTGTTATTCAGCTCGAGTAGGTTTTATGGTGATTCAGTTCAGTTGGATGACAGTATCAATGTTGCAAGATGCGATTCAGCTCTACAGAAGATAATATACAATGTTCCTGTGTGTTAGTGTTTTACAGTAGGGAGTGCTATAGGTCAGTGTTTCCCAACCTTTTTTGTCTTATAGACCCCACAGCCCCATCAGTATGCCTAAATGAAAACGTCTTTGACAATCCTGAAATGTGTTCATGGCATCACATGATGCTATCATAATGTCATTGTAAAAAAAAATTGAAAATCACATTTATTCTAACTAGAACTAAATAAAAAACATTAATATATTTTTAGTTCTATATATAAACCATGCTCCTGACAGCTGTTCTACTGACAGTTGTTCAAAATGTTCTGTGTGTGTACAGCTTATTTGCATTGTATTATACATTACCATTCACAAGTTTATTGTCAGTAAGATTTTTAGTGTTTAAAGACACACCATGGCTGCATTTATTTGATCAAAAATACACTAAAAATAGTAATACTATTGTGAAATATTATTAAATGTTTGACTGTTTTTTTATATTAATATATTTTCAAATGTAGTTTATTTCTGTTATGGCAAAGCTAAATTTTCAGCAGCCATTAATCCAGTCATAAATGTCACATGATCCTTCAGAAATCAAATGTGTTCTGTTAGTTTTTGATAAATGGGACATTCAAAATTATTTGAAAGAGAAACCATTTGTATTTGTATCATGAGTATTAATTTCTTCAAAATGAATAAAATCTTACTGACCCTAAACTTCTAAGTGGTGTGTGTGTATATTAGCATTGTATTGTCATGGCCAGTCTACTTTCTAGATATTAGTGTCTACCATGGAAAAAGCAATATCGGTTGACCACAAGTGATTCACATAACTGAAATATTTCCAATGCCAAGTAAACCCCAGAAGCTGGTTGGAAATCACTGTTATACATGAATAAAACATTTGCACACACATCTGTTAACATTTCTACAGGAACACTGGTCTACATTTTATGATTTCCCAACACTAGATAACATTTCATAATTAGAAATTGATTATTGAAAACACTCAAATTAACTACCAAATCAGTCAGTTTAGAAAGTGCCTCATGAAGAAGGGACTCAGATACCAGAGTAGCTTTGTTTAGAGTAGATTAATGAAGGTAATACCAGCATGGTACAGAACTGAGAGTCAGTCTGCTTTTTGTGCTTTTCCTGTGTTGAGAAAATCCTTCACACCTCTCCAGTGTCAATGTGTCTTTTTGTCACAACTTTAACTTGAAAACACTGCATGGACCACAACTTACACAGATGGTGTAAGATCTGTTTATGTATGATGTAACATGGGCTTTTTACCAGTTCATGACCTAGTGATAAAATGCTGTCTTTTCCTCCATCTATAACAATTTTTCATGTCTACCCCGGAGCTGACAGGAACCGTTTAGTCTAGTCACTCAAGAGCATTGGGAACCCTAGGGGGGATTTGTGCTGTAAGCCTCTGGATCTCTTGTACTGTAAGCCCCTCCATGAGCAACAGCCTCAGTGCCAGCACCACGGCTGGGAAAACCAGCCACAGACTAAACAGCTGAAAATCAGGCGAGAGGTGGTTGGGAGCAGGAACGGTCAGAGAAATTTGTTGAGATTCTGGCAAATACTGGAAAAAGGATGCAAGCAAAACAAAGCAGGTCCAGCTGACAGGGCCCATGGACGGCCTTCTCCCCTCTCCAGATTCCACACATACTTACCACAAGCTAATTAAGAACAGGAGAAACAGAAAATGAGACCAAGACGGGGCCAGAGAGACTCAATAAAAACTGAATTTTTTGCTCCATGACCCATTTTAAGGTTTAATATTTTTGACCCCTGCCCCAACTGTTATATCCAGCTCTTATAATACTAATTCAAAAACTGCATCAAACTATTAAGTGCCAGCATACAGTACCAAAGGCAATATTATGGTGCTCTGTCAGTTGCTGTGCATGCATCCAAGTTTAGAAAAATCACAATACTGCAAAAACAATTAGCAAAAACAGCAAAGTTTCTTCCCAATGGCTGCCTCTGAAATCACATACTCTCTTGATTAGGTACTTATTTTGAATAAGTAAATACTTTGTGACTTCTAAAAAAGTAGGCGTTGCATCACTTCGGTGTCATTCACAAATCCTCTCCTGTGGCCTCATGGGATAGTAAAGTGTCCATCATATGCACACTTCAGAATCTCGCTGGAAGTTCATCCAGGTACATTTTACTTACTCTTTTATGTGTAATGTGAATTCGGACCTACTTATTCCCCTACTTCTCAAACAGTTTTTCGCCATCCATATAGTAGAGAGGTATGCAATTTTGGATGCAGCCTACATGTTAAAGAAAACAAAGTGGTCTCTTCTGGAGAAATTGGTGCAAAATATGAATGGAAACGGAAGTTGTAGAGCCACTTATGAAACCACTGAATTTCTTTTATTTGGTAAACATGCTTCCATCGTAGTTTATTCTCGTCTTATGGAATAAGCGAGAGTGTGTGCTTTTTTTGTGAGCATTTTGGAAATGTATTTTGCATGTTATGTTGGTATTCCTGCTCAGCATTTTATATTTGCTACCCCAAAATTTGCTTACAAATACATGGATGGAAACCCAGCTATTGCCTTTTCTGTATATTCAGCCTTTGCAACATTTCCTCATTACAATGTGTTGCAATTTTGAAAATATACCATAGATATGGTACAGTTGATAGTAGAGCCCGACTGATATATCGTTTTGCCGATATGAGCCTGTCGCAGATATATCGTATCGGCGAATATGCCTCTGATATGAACTTTTTTTTTTTTACAGAACATATAACGCAGATTAAATGCTTCTGAATGGTGTAATTACTTTGTTTGTCCAACAAAGCACGCTCCATTGTTTGCTACTGGTCAGTGTAGTGTAGAGATGCACGGCTGAGCTCAAACTTCACCCGAGTCCGCTGCTTCAAATTATCCGCCCGCCACCCACCTGCACCTATATTTGATCGTCACATTACAATGATTCTAATGCTTAGTTTTGCATGATGATATGATGAATGGATGGTTAATTTTTAACAGCAGATTCAGTGACGTTAGAGAGCTGATATGCGCATCACGGCACGCGTCTGCGGCGCATTAAAACCTGTGTTACGGCCACCGGAGCTGATCGCGGCCACTCAGTCAATGCTGGTGTTTATACCGGCCGCGCCGCGGCCCAGAACTCATGCTTATCACATCGGTCACATCGCGCGGCGCGACAAAATAGAATAGAAATTCTATTGCCGCTCGCGTTCGGTGTAGAATAGAACCCATTATAATCAGTGATGTTGTCTACACTGGATGCATTAAACTGATGCCTCGTTCTATTTATGACGTGCTGACACAAAGTTCAAATGATTTTCAATGGTCGCTTTGTTGCGTTCTGTTACGGCACAGACACGGTGTCAGCATAGTTTGTCAGTACAGTCAGTAACGTAGCAGATTGAAAAGTTAGTACCTTTCTGCAGTCCAATAGACGGCAGTGCGGTGGTGGCTTGAGTCTGTTGAATCGTGATTTAACGCTACGTTCTCACCTAGTTGGAGAGACTCAATGCTAAGTAAATAAACAATGTCCCTGTCTTTTACTCTCACATTGAGCTTATCATATTCGTTTGCTAGTAGGGCCCTATGATTTCCGCGATGCAGAAAACACGGACGGAATCGCGGAATCCAGTCATAAAAACGAAATTTACTATATAATGCGGAATTTCATGGAATTTGTCTTATTTTTGATGAATACATAAGAAACAGGTCAGTACATATATATATAGACTGTGTCTGTGAATATTAAACTGCAAAAAGACGATTTAAATACGAATGTTCTGCATGTTCATTTGATTACCAGAAAATACACAACACAGAATTTGTGAAAAAA